GGGGTGTTTTTGGGGTGTTTTCGGGTGTTTTCGGGTGTTTTTCGGGTGTTTTCGGGTGTTTTCGGGGTCGCTGACGCCGGGGGGGCAGCGCCGGGGGCGCAGCAGTGCGGGTGTGTTTGGGGTTAGTTTTGGGGTGTTTTTGGGGTGTTTTTGGGGTATTTTCGGGTGTTTTCGGGTGTTTTCGGGGTCGCTGACGCCGGGGGGGCAGCGCCGGGGGCGCAGCAGTTCTGTTTCCTGTTGTCGACGCGGGCCGGGGGCCTCGGCATCAACCTGGCAACAGCCGACACGGTGGTGATCTTCGACTCGGACTGGAACCCCCACAACGACATCCAGGTGGGCATTGTCACCCGGACACTGTCACCCGGACACTGTCACCCGGACACTGTCACCCGGTCATTGTCACCCGGTCAGTGTCACCCGGTCATTGTCACCCGGTCAGTGTCACCCGGACACTGTCACCCGGACACTGTCACCCGGTCATTGTCACCCGGTCAGGGTCACCCAGTCAGTGTCACCCGGACACTGTCACCCCGTCACTGTCACCCGGTCAGGGTCACCCGGACAGTGTCACCCGGACACTGTCACCCGGACACTGTCACCCTGTCAGTGTCACCTGGTCAGTGTCACCCGGACAGGGTCACCCGGACACTGTCACCCGGACACTGTCACCCCGTCAGTGTCACCCCGTCATTGTCACCCGGTCAGGGTCACCCGGTCAGGGTCACCCGGTCATTGTCACCTGGTCAGTGTCACCTGGTCAGTGTCACATGGTCATTGTCACATGGTCAGGGTCACATGGTCAGGGTCACCTGGCCGGTGTCACCCTCCCCAGCTCCCTGTCTCCCCTTCTTGCCAAGTCCCTGAGGTGTCCCTGAGATGTCCCCGAGGTGTCCCTGGGATGTTCCTCATGTTCCTGAGGTGTCCCTGAGGTGTCCCTGAGATGTCCCTGAGGTGTTCCCCATGTTCCTGAGATGTTCCTGAGATGTTCTTCATGTCCCTGAGATGTCCCTGGGATGTTCCTCATGTCCCTGAGGTGTCCCTTACGTCCCTGAGATGTCCCCGAGGTGTTCCTCATGTCCCTGAGATGTTCCTGAGGTGTTCCTCATGTCCCTGAGATGTTCCTCACATCCCTGAGATGTCCCCAAGGTGTTCCTCATGTTCTTGAGATGTTCCTGAGGTGTCCCCGAGGTGTCCCCCATGTCCCTGAGATGTTCCTCACGTCCCTGAGATGTTCCTGAGGCGTTCCTCATGTCCCTGAGATGTTCCTCCTGTCCCTGAGATGTTCCTCATGTCCCTGAGATGTCCCCGAGGTGTTCCTCATGTCCCTGAGATGTTCCTCATGTCCCTGAGATGTCCCCGAGGTGTTCCTCATGTCTCTGAGATGTTCCTCCTGTCCCTGAGATGTTCCTGAGGTGTTCCTCATGTCCCTGAGATGTTCCTCACATCCCTGAGATGTCCCTGAGGTGTTCCTCATGTCCCTGAGATGTTCCTCATGTCCCTGAGATGTTCCTCACGTCCCTGAGATGTCCCTGAGGTGTCCCTGAGATGTCCCCGAGGTGTTCCTCATGTCCCTGAGATGTCCCTGAAGTGTCCCTGAGATGTTCCTCACGTCCCTGAGATGTCCCCGAGGTGTCCCCCATGTCCCTGAGATGTTCCTCATGTCCCTGAGATGTCCCTGAGATGTTCCTCATGTCCCTGAGATGTCCCTGAGGTGTCCCTGAGATGTCCCCGAGGTGTCCCCCATGTCCCTGAGATGTTCCTCACGTCCCTGAGATGTTCCTGAGGTGTTCCTCATGTCCCTGAGATGTTCCTCATGTCCCTGAGATGTTCCTCATGTCCCCGAGATGTTCCTCACATCCCTGAGATGTCCCCGAGGTGTTCCTCATGTCCCTGAGATGTTCCTCATGTCCCTGAGATGTCCCTGAGGTGTCCCTGAGATGTCCCCGAGGTGTTCCTCACGTCCCTGAGATGTCCCTGAGGTGTTCCTCATGTCCCTGAGATGTCCCTGAAGTGTCCCTGAGATGTTCCTCACATCCCTGAGATGTCCCCGAGGTGTTCCTCATGTCCCTGAGATGTTCCTCACATCCCTGAGATGTCCCCGAGGTGTCCCTCATGTCCCCGAGGTGTTCCTCACGTCCCTGAGATGTCCCTGAGGTGTCCCTGAGATGTCCCCGAGGTGTCCCCCATGCCCCTGAGATGTTCCTCACGTCCCTGAGATGTCCCTGAGGTGTCCCCAGCATGTCCCCGTCCCCGCAGGCCTTCAGCCGCGCCCACCGCATCGGCCAGGCCAACAAGGTGATGATTTACCGCTTCGTGACGCGGGCGTCGGTGGAGGAGAGGATCACGCAGGTGGCCAAGCGCAAGATGATGCTGACGCACCTGGTGGTGCGCCCGGGGCTGGGCTCCAAGGCCGGCTCCATGTCCAAGCAGGAGCTGGACGACATCCTCAAGTTCGGCACCGAGGAGCTCTTCAAGGACGAGAACGAGGGTCAGCTCCAGCGTGGGGTGGGGTGGGGTGGGGTTCTGGTGGGTTCTGATGGGTTCTGATGGGTTCTGGTGGGTTCTGATGGGTTCTCCTGGGTTCTTCTGGGCTCTCCTGGGTTCTGATGGGTTCTGATGGGTTTTTATGGGTTCTCCTGGGTTCTTCTGGGTTCTTCCTGGGTTCTTCTGGGTTCTTCTGGGTTCTTCCTGGGTTCTTCTGGGTTCTTCCTGGGTTCTTCTGGGTTCTTCTGGGTTCTGATGGGCTCTCCTGGGTTCTGATGGGTTCTGGTGGGTTCTGATGGGCTCTCCTGGGTTCTTCTGGGTTCTGATTGGTTCTGGTGGGTTCTCCTGGGTTCTGATGGGTTCTGATGGGTTCTGATGGGTTCTTCCTGGGTTCTGATGGGTTCTGATGGGTTCTTCCTGGGTTCTCCTGGGTTCTTCTGGGTTCTGATTGGTTCTGGTGGGTTCTGGTGGGTTCTTCTGGGTTCTGATGGGTTCTGATGGGTTCTTCTGGGTTCTGATGGGTTCTGATGGGTTTTTATGGGTTCTTCTGGGTTCTTCTGGGTTCTTCTGGTTTTTCCCTGGGTTCTCCTGGGTTCTCCTGTGTCCTTCTGGTTTTTCCTGGGTTCTCCTGGGTTTTCCTGTGTCCTCCTGTGTTCTCCTGGGTTCTCCTGTGTCCTCCTGTGTCCTCCTGTGTCCTCCTGTGTTCTCCTGGGTTCTCCTGGGTCCTCCTGGGTCCTCCTGGGTTCTCCTGTGTCCTCCTGTGTTCTCCTGGGTTCTCCTGGGTCCTCCTGGGTCCTCCTGGGTCCTCCTGTGTTCTCCTGGGTCCTCCTGTGTCCTCCTGGTTTCTCCTGGGTTCTCCTGTGTCCTCCTGTGTTCTCCTGGGTCCTCCTGGTTTCTCCTGTGTCCTCCTGTGTCCTCCTGGGTCCTCCCGGGTGACGCGGCGCGTCCGCGCAGGGGACAACAAGGAGGAGGACAGCAGCGTCATCCACTACGACAACGAGGCCATCGCGCGGCTGCTGGACCGGAACCAGGACGCCACCGACGACGCCGACGTGCAGAACATGAACGAGTACCTGAGCTCCTTCAAGGTGGCCCAGTACGTCGTCAGGGAGGAGGACAAGGTGTGCCGGGGACACCGGGCTGGGCCGGAGAGCAGGAGGTGTCGGGAGGGTGGAGATGGTGGGGGTGGTGGGACAGTGGAGGTGATGATGGTGATGGTGAAGGTGGGGATGATGGTGACGGTGATGATGACGATGTGATGATGACAATGATGATGATGACAATGATGATGATGACAATGATGATAATGATGATGGTGGAGACCATGATGAAGATGACGATGGAGATGAGGATGATGATGATGATGGAGATGATGATGATGATGATGATGATGATGGAGATGATGATGACAATGATGATGATGATGATGATGATGATGATGACAATGATGATGATGATGGAGATGATGGAGATGATGATGATGGAGATGATGATGATGATGATGACAATGATGATGATGATGATGGAGATGATGATGATGATAATGATGGAGATGATGATGATGATGATGACAATGATGATGATGATGATGGAGATGATGGAGATGATGATGATGGAGATGATGGAGATGATGATGATGGAGATGGTGATGATGGAGATGATGATGATGATGGAGATGATGATGATGATGGAGATGATGATGAGGATAGCATAGATGATGATGGAGACAATGATGATGGAGATGATGATGATGGAGATGATGATGATGACAATGATGATGATGATGATGGAGATGATGATGGAGATGATGATGATGGAGATGATGATAATGATGACAACGATGATGATGATGATGGTAGAGATGACAATTAGGATGAAGATGGTGATGACGATGGAGATAAATGATGGAGATGATGATGGAGATGATGGAGATGATGATGATGGAGATGATGATGATGATGATGATGGAGATGATGATGAGGATAGCATAGATGATGATGGAGACAATGATGATGGAGATGATGATGACAATGATGGAGACAACCACCACAAGAACACCAGCACTGGGGTCACCATACCCCGCATTGACCCCAGCCCCTGGCTGACCCCTGAGTGACCCCAGAGTGACCCCTGGCTGACCCCTGGGTGACCTTCCGGTGTCCCCCGGCTGTCCCGCAGATCGAGGAGATCGAGCGCGAGATCATCAAGCAGGAGGAGAACGTGGACCCCGACTATTGGGAGAAGCTCCTGCGGCACCACTACGAGCAGCAGCAGGAGGACCTGGCCAGGAACCTGGGCAAGGGCAAGC